AAAGAAGAGACAGTTGTGTTTATCAGCACAAGTCTGCGATCGCGTACTGGAGAGTCGCGAGCGCACTAGTGATGGTGCCCAAATGAGAGACATTGAGTTTTCATCGCCAACTACGCGAGTCGGCGCGCAAACGCAAGTCGCGAGCGGCTTCCAGGCCAAGGGCCAACTTCCGAGCGCGTCTTGCAGGTCGCTGAGCGCGAAGAAGAGCAAAATGAGAGTCAGTGAGTTTTGAAGCTGGAAAGTCAGTGCGCGCGCAGTGCAAGTCGCCGAGCGCGCGACGTGCTTCCGCCTACGCAGTGCCAGCGTTCGCGACGCTGTTTTCCAGCCTGCGCAGTCTGCAACTCATTTTGCGTCATATCTCTCAATATACAAAATCCAATTGGGTGATTCAAAAAACCATCGCCAAAGTAACACATAGAGAACAAATAACTCTTCTATGACACTTCCCTAATTCCATCATTAACTAGGTCGAAAATCAGAATGAAAGTCCTCCCTGTTTTCAAAAAATTCAATACCTCCCTGTTTTGCACCACTACCATTCTCCAACAAATTTAAGCAATTATATTGGCTCAATAGCAAACACACACACAAAATTTCTCATGCAAAAGCCAATAATAAAATCACAGAGATATCAAACCTTACTCTCAAAACAGCTTGAACTCTCTTTAAGCCTTCTTTTCTACACTCGGTTGAACTCTCCTCTCCTTATTTACACATCAAAATTCTTACAAACTATTATCTACAATATCACTCAATAGAGACTGAATAACAATAAGCTGCAAAGTAATTCTACTTACTTGGAGAGAATTTGAGTTCCTAAATGGTGGAGAAATAAGGAATGAAGGAGCATGAAGAAGATGACGATTAAAGATAACAATGGCGGAAAGTGAACTGATGATTGGGTAGGCATCACCAAAATCAAGATAAATGAATGGAAACTTACTAAAGATAGATACCTCAATTGTCAAAAAGCTATACTTATTACCCAAGGCTCTGTTCTTTTTAATGCCATTAATCCTAATCCTTACACTTTGCTCTTTTTCTCTCAATACACGTAAGTCCACTAAAATAATTTCCCATTTCTACCCCAACGGGTTTGGTTCAACTCGACGGGTTTGGTTCAACTCGACTCAACTCGACTCTATGCAAAGACTCGACTATGCAAAGACTCGACTCGGTAGGATGTCACAGGCTACTTGTCCAGCATCTTCTGCATTTGCCAATGCTTCCTCATTCTATAGAAATTGAAACATAAAAATTATTTTTTTTTAACAAAAAAAAAAAGAGAAGTTAAAAAAATTATGACAATGCAAAGGTAATTCAAGAAATATTGAATTATGACAATGCAACACATTAAAAAAAAAAAAATTCCTCTCCTCCATTGTTGGGGGATTATAAGAGGGCATGTTTAGCTGCTGCCCCTTGGTAATTCAAGAAATATTGGCACTGAGAAGTTGACAATTACATGCTTAGTATTCTACAGCAATTGAATTAACCAGCTCAAGAAAACCAAGAAAACAAATGGTGAGTTTGTGTTCAGTTCAGTACTAAACTATAAGAAGAACATGGCCACTTATCCTGTCTAGACTACTAAACACTTTGGCACGGTACACTGAAACAACTTACCAAAAACTTCCGGATATCAGGTCTTCTTCTTGTGTTTTTTCCTCATCTTACTGCCAAAGGGAACCCAAATGGGTTCAAAACCACCAAATAATTCCAATGTTGAAAAATTTAACATTTAACGTCTATGTTGGTAACAAATGAGTTCCAAAAATTTTTTATTTGATTTCATTTGAAATTTTATTCTTTATATTTGACATAAATGAAAATGTTCAAATGAAAATGTTCATTTCATTGCTAAAAACTAAAATCTCACAGAATTCACCACAACTAAACCAAATCTTATAATTTCTAAATGATTCATTTATACCAAACAACTTAAGAAATTTAAATCCTAATTATTGAATCATCATATATTGGTGATCTACAATTTTAAATGCAATTAAGAAAAAAGAAAGACTTGAAAAAAAAAATTTACAGAAGCATGGAAGACAGGCCAAATCAAGGAAATAGTTAGGATGGGAGTGAATGGTGGAAATAACTTTAGCCAGAGAAGATTAGCAGCAATGACATTGATTTACACATCAATTGTGGATTAGTAATTGAAAGAAACTAGGTTTGATAAAAAAAATCTAGATGAGGAATTGAGAACAGACAAAGAAATGTTTTACATGAGCGATTTGAACAACAAAGAAATGTTTTACCATGACGATTTAAGCTTTCTTGAAAGAACCGAAGATGAAGAATTGGTTAAAAAGAAATAAAACATAACGAAATAGATCTAAAAGAAGATAAGAGGACTTGATAAAAAAAAGTAATTAAAGAACAAAAAATGAATCAAAGGTAGAAAGTGACTGATAGCTAAGAATAATGAGTTTCGAAGCTAATGATTGCAGAACTTAAAATTGATGAGCTACCAAAATCTAATAGCAATTTTGGAAAACATATATGTAGTCCTAAGATTAAAAAATTGAACTGAAACAAACCAGTCCAATTAACCACATTCTCATGTTCAGTTTTTTCAATCTCTGTAGCACACTCTAATATTTGAAAAAAAAAAATTACCTTATGCTGGAAACTCTTTATAGATCTTTATAGTTTCCCTCAATGAGTCGAAAGAAGGACGTTTAACAGAATACACATTCCATTCATCAGACAGCTTTCTTAAAACAATTAGACTTGCTTCAAGATTCTCCAGATAGAACATGTCCTGTTACCAAACAGTTTCACATACAAGAAACACAAGTCAATAATGTGTGTATCAATAGACAACTCTTAACTCTAGCAATGAACTTTTGTTTTGTTTTTTTTTTTAAAAAAAAAAAATCATAAAATGCTCACCCATTGCTTGTAACATTCAGGGTTTTGCATCAAACACCATATAAAAACATCACTGGCTTCCTTTGATAGTTCAGGTATACCTACAAACAGCATCAGTCATATTCAAGTTATTGGCACAGTTTTAGACAAAGGGAATTAGTTGCTTAAAAGGATGTATTAAAGCTTCAACCATTTCGGCATAGCTTTTGAGGTGTGATAATTCAATATGTGCTGAAGTTACTTGCTCATTGCTTTGGTTTCCAGATGAAGCAGTTAGGGCAATTTCTTTTAAAGTATGCGAATAAACGCTTTCAAGCCTCTCAGTCGCCTATAAAAGGACATGCATAAAAAAATTGTCTCAGATCTAAGGATCTGTTATTCATTCACATACACAGCACTGAAAACACCCACCTTTCACTCCGACCTGATGTGAGCTGGAAAGGTTGATTCCTCATCAAAGTTCAAGAGCTTGGTGGCAGGCACTAAGCGTTCTCCCTGTTTAACAGCCCCATTTAGTAAAAATAGAACCTAAGCCTTTGGGCAAGGACAATATTCTAAATAAGTAAACCACAAATAAAATAATATGAAAAATTAAAAAGAGACAAGTGAGAATTAAAACTTCAACATGCAGTTGACTGTCATAGATGCAAAAGAAATAAGATATGAATAGAGTCTTAACCTCTCAAACAACTGCAAAACCAAATCAAGTCGCCAGATTGTGGGCTTAACTGCTCAAGTTCCACTTAGCATAGTAAGGAGAACACGTATCCATGGTAACAAACCCACACCAAATCTCCTTTGGATGCCTGAACAAATCAGGAAAACAGTTCCAAATCTCCTTTCGCGACTTTCATTGCGCGCTCGCGAATTTCACCTGTAAACTCACTGACCCTCATATGTGCTTCTCGCACTCGCGACTTTTCAAGGCGCGCTCGCGAATTGTGTTTTTATACTCTTTTGGACCTCTTTTTCTATGCAATTGAATTCCTTTGCTCAACTTGTATGCCTCCAATCATTTAAAACAAAAAGACAACATGAGAACATGCATCAAACCAATATGCAAGCATGCAAATGATGTGAAATGAGGTAAACACTATGGTGTATGAAGTTATGAATTCCATGCAATTGTATTTCTTTGCTCAACTTGTACAAAGTATTAAAAACTAAAATCATCCAGGTATGCAGTCTGAAGCAGTTACAGATTAAGAGTGTTGAAGATTTCTCCTTGAATATTTGATTTGTTAGTTACATATTTATTTTAGAAAGTTGACATGTAAAAGACCTTGTCATACCAAGTGCCAACCAAGACATATTGAAGCATTAGAAGTACAATTATTAATGGTATATATGAGATAGCAAATATTTCAATCAATATCTAAAAAATAATTTATTTAAAAATTAGAAAAACCTAAAATTCCTAATCAAATTTCCTGTCATCCAAAAGTATAGATTACCCCCTTCCTTTTACATCTTTTAATAGAGTCTCATATGTTCTCAAAATGGTTGTTGATTTGGTGGTTTGAAATTGTAGTTAGATCTAAAAATACAAATTTTCGTTTTCATTATAAAGTAATTAATTTTATTATCTTCGATATGTATAGCTATAAGAAAATAAACATTTATGTGTGAGTATGTATATTTTAACTATTAAATTAATAGTTCCAATTAATTCTCATGGTCTTGAGTTGGTGTGTAACTTTATTTGATCATGCAAATGCATGTAAATATTAAAAAAAAAAAAAAAGCATATAAATAAAGATCCATATTACATTGAATTATTAGCAAATATTTATAATTATTTTGAACTTAAATAGAATTTTCCATAAAATCTATTTTATAATCCAAAAGGTAGAAATTCAATTTTTGTTTGTCCAAAAGTTATCTTTCAGTTATAAAATTGAAAACCTAACAATTGAAAATACAATAGATGGCTTTTGCTTTTACTTTACCAAACACACTGCATCAATCTTTTAGGTGCCGAACATTGACTTTGCTGCCTAAAGGCCAGCCAATGTGAACTAATATTGCATCTCTTTTCACAAATCTTCCATTCCTAAACATTTTTAATAAATTTTTTCTCTATTGGTAGTGGAAACTAAGCATTCACTATTCATTACCGCAAATAGATGCAGCTACAAGCAAAGGGCATTTACCTGAGATTTTGATGGCAATTGCTGCTTTGGCTTTTTGGATACCTTGGAAGTTGCTTGATGACTTTCAAGGTCCGCAAAAATGCTATCCAATGACCACAGCACAAAAGATCCAAGTGCCTCATGAGATTGCTGACCAAGCCAATCGACCGCTATCTTGTAAACATCTTCAGAAATATGAGAGAGAGGAATCTGATTCATAACCAAATGAAAAAAATTTAGTGAATGAATCCAATAATCCAACTTCTAAACAATTGATAGCATACACAATTAAATGATAAAAATGACATATTGATAAATACAAATAAATAAATTTCAGATCAGGCAGACAACAAAAAGGAATAATAGAATATATGTGATCTCTTAAACAGCAAAAGATGATACTTAATAATCAGAATAAGCTACACTACTTTTTGCCCCAATTCATATATTTCTTCATTTAAAAAAAAAAAAAAATTCAAATATGATTTTCTTAAGAACCCAATATTCTACGCTGTTCTTTCATAACAAACTCCAAAATTAAAGCAACCAAAAAGCCAAATAATAAATAAATAAACAAATAAACAAATTTGCAATTAAAAAACTCACATCAACCATCTTTGAAACTGAGGATTCCTTGAAGTTCTTCAGCCAAGGGAATTGCGCAGAGCTCACTGAGCTAAACGCCTTTCCAAAGTAATCTGCAAATCGCATTAGCAGTATATCCTGCTGATTCTCATACGACGACTAAAGAGACAGCACCACCAAAGCACAAAAAGAATTTGTCTTTAGCACAGTAAAACCAGATAAAATTCATCAAGTAAAATAGAATTGTTAAATCTTACTGTTATATCAATAAGAAAGGCGCCTAGATCACCGGCATCAATCTTCTCAGCCGCCTCCGCCACAGACACCTTTGGTTTCTTCGGTTTCTTAGCCTTCACCTTCTTTTTATCCCCGTTGGCAATTCCACCATCTTCACCGGCAGGAGCTTCACCGTCGCTTTCTCCGTCGTCGTCATCGGAATGCCGCTTCGATCCGTTTGCAGCGAAAGGATATTCACTGGCGGGGGCGGCTGCTCGCTGTGCCTCTAGTAGTCGCTTGCGGCGATCCTCCGCATGTTGCTCGATGGAGCTGAAGACGTCAGGAGTGGTGGCCCTGACGCCATTACTATGATTACCGGAGAAATTCTCCAACGATGAGACTTTCGACTGCTTCCTGTTTCTCTTCTGGTACGAAACCGTTTGCCATCCGTCATCGTTTAGCTTTACATTGTTATAATCATTGTACATTTGATCTTCAGTGAGAATTCGATCAGCATAAGCTGAATTCTCATCCATTGCTCGTATAAACGACAAGTTTTCTCACAAAACGACACAGAGAAACAGTGATACGATTTCACGTCGACGACACAGAAAAATAGAGCAGAAGAGAGAGCGTCGGGTTTTGAAGGAGAACAGAAGAGAAGAGGACAGGAAGATGACTCCGAAGCAAAAGACACGTGGATTTTTTAGTTCTGCCTTTTGACATTGTATAATAGTTTAATGACGGAAATGCCATTATGCGTTCAGTGGATCTACGGGCAAAAGAACCCGCACAATGTTGCGGACCATATGCCATCAAAGGATTTTTTTTTTTTTTAATTAATATTTTGCTTTATATTTTACAATGAATAGGTTTAAGGTCCATCTAAATGAATAAATCGAAAAAAAATATCTTTTAATTTGACTTGGATATCGATTAAAAAATTTTAATTAATATTATTAAGTTATAATCTTTGCTTTGTTTCCCGATATACCCTTGTGGTAGTGTTTTATTAAAATTAAATGATAATATTAAAATATCCTTGAAATTAATCAAATTATAATAAACCATTTGGTCAAATAAAGTTTTCTTGAAGGATTAAAAATTGATATTTTAAAAATTGATATTTTAATTTTATTTATATCAAATTTTAATTAATTATAATATAATAAATTGACTATTATATTTATTAATAATAAAAACATATTAAATAAACTTCAAATATTATTCAATTCTAAAAAAAATAAACATTGATTATAATTTATGATAGAAGAAAAAGGAAAGCTAAGAAAGTATTAGGTATCTTCCCTAATTTGCCTTATTCATTTATAAACGAGAGCAGATTACCAAATTTGAAATCCTAAAGCAGCAAGATATTAACACAGGTTTGATCTTTAATAGATAAGTTGGCTCCTGCAAAACGCGGAAAGAACTCATTATAATAATAAAATATTATCATTTCCAAAAAATTATATAATGATTCACAGATTTTTTTTCCCTCACGCTTCCATTTTTTTCCAAATATTATCCTTTTATTTATTTATTTTTCATATTTCCTTGCATATTCTGTTATTCTTAAATTCTTTATTATTATTATTATTATTATTATTATTTTCTTTTGTTAAATGGTCTGAATTTGGAGAATTGGTTTATGATGATAAGAAAGATATAAAGTGAATAGGAAGTTTATTTGCTCTCCTTTTCTGAAAAAAGAAAAAAAAGAATAGGTGGTAGGTGACAGGTTACATCCTAGAATTAATTCAAAATTATTAGGGAGCTATTATAGTCATTTTATTAGTAGCAATGTAAGGATGAAAGGTGGCATTAAATGCAGTTGGTGCAGATAGCAGTGATTTATCAAATGCCACTTTCCTCCTGACACCTTACCCTATTATATCCATAACACCTTCTTATAATATGTTAGAGAGTAGCATTTAGAGTAGATTTAGAGTAGCGTTTATAATTTTAAACCAATCAAAATAATATTTCTTTAAATTATTATGTTTGATAACTTGATAAATAAAGTAATTTTAAGGTCTTCTAAATCATTGTCTCACCTAATCTAGCGTTTCACTCTTTTTACTTTAATTTTTTTTTTTACAATATTATCTTTATCTTTATCCTTAATTAATATAAAACATTATCTTTTTATATTTGGCTTATTTATAATTGATAGTAAAAGAAAAATATATATATTTGTATTTAAACTCAAACAAATATTGCAAATTAAAAATGTTGCTGGAATTGGAACCCCGCTAAACGCATCTGCAGGGAGAGGCGATGAGTTTTGACTGTAACTAAGTCCTAAGCTGGATTATTCGGTCTCTAGTTATGGGGTGCAGACACTGGTGGTTTATAATAAAAGAAATTAAAATGTTGATCCCCTAAAATATTAAAAATTTTCAATTTTATTTATAAATAGTGAACTTTTCAACTTTTGCTCCCTTAAATCTTGAAAATTTAGGTTTAGTGAAATCATTTTTTTTATAATGAATTTAATTGAAAATTCTAGGTGAATATTTCAATTTTTTTTTTTTTGTCATTTTATATTCATTGCCGATCAAACAATTGTTTTTATCGAACTCTTTTACTTTAAACCACTATTTAAACAACTAATAACTGACCACTAACATCTACCAGTTAACAACTACTAAAACAACTAACAATTATTAAAACAGTTAACAGTTACTAGAACAGCTAGTATTTGCCAACGGGCCAATGATTGTATTACAAATTTGTAAAAAGTGAAAAATATTGTGCTTATTCATTTTACGGAAAAAATGGTTAAGTTTAATTGACATTATTATTATTACTAATCTTCTCGAACGTGTGTTGCACATTATTTATACTAGTTAATTTTTACACATTGCAAGTAAATGTAATTCAATTTTTATATATAAGTTTTTATTAATTTTTTGTTATAAATTATAATATCATAAATTGTTTATATTACTAAAAATTTAAGAGTATTTATAAAATAGAGAAAATAATATTTTATAAAATAATAAAATAGACTTGGCCAAAGAGCATGGGCCTATTATGCACCTTCAGCTCGGCGAAGTCACGAACATTGTTGTTTCTTCGCCTGAAACTGCTAAAGCAGTTATGAAAACCCATGATCACATTTTTGCTCAAAGACCCTTTCTGCTTGCAGCAAATATAATGGCTTATAATTCAACGGATCTTGCCTTTGCGCCCTACGGAGATTATTGGAGACAAATGCGAAAAATCTGCACCCAAGAAATGCTGTCTAATAAACGAGTGCAGTCATTCGGATTAATAAGAGAAGAAGAAGTATCAAAATTAATTACAGAACTTTCTTCCCGTGCAGGGTCAACAGTCAACTTTAGCAAAATGTTCAATTCTGTGACTTACAATATCATTCAAAGAGTAGCTATTGGCAAGCTGTGGAACGGAGAAGAAGTAGTCATTCCAGCTATCAAGAAATTGATAGAAGCTGCCGGAGGTTTTAGTCTTTCTGATGTATACCCTTCAATCAAATTGCTTCATAAAATTAGCACTACGAGGTTTAAACTACAGAGAGCTCATAAAGAAGCAGATCGGGTATTCCAGAATATTATTGATGAACACAGGGCTAGAAGGGCATCAAGAGCTAAATCTGGTGCAAAGAATGAAGAAGAAGATCTAATAGATGTCCTTTTGCAAGCTCAGTCTAAAGAAGACCTTGAACACCCTATAACAGATGACAACATAAAAGCTGTTATCCTGGTTAGTTTTTTTTTTTTTTTTTTTTTTTTTTTTCAAGAGCTAAACTGGTGCAAAGAATGAAGAAGAAGAATCTTAATAGAATGCCTTTATTGCCAAAAGCTCAGTCTAAAAGAAGACCTGAACAATCCCTATAACAGATGAAACAACATAAAAGCTGTTATCCATGGTTAGTTTTTTTTTTTTTTTGTTTTTTTTTTTTTATACAATAAAGTTTCCGTCATTGAAAATTGGAAATATTGTTTTTGCTTACTAACTTATGAAAAATCTATTTCAAGGACGTCTTGTCTGTGGTAGTGACACAATCAGCCTAACATGTAGTATGGGTGAATGTCAGATATTTACAAAAAAATCCGGACGTGATGAAAGAGTTACAACTGAGGTAAGACCAAGTTTTTTAGTGAAAAAGGGGGTACGTGGATGAAGAAACATCGGGATATTACAACTACTTAAAAGCAGTTGTAAAGACATGAGAATTAACGTCCTCCTGGAACAATACTTACTAGAGAAGTATGCAGACGTGTAAATTAAGTGGTTACGACATTCTCATAAAAATCTAGAAGTTAATTAGTAAATGCATGGGCTCTTGTAGAGGATCTATATGGCCTGAAGCTGGAGAGATTTCCCAATCCGGACCAGAATTCTTGAATTCTTCAATTTGATTTTTAAAAAGGAAACCATTTCGAGTAGTTTCTTCCATTTGGTGCCGGGAGGAGAGTTTGTCCTGGAATATTATTCGGCATATCTAATGTTCAATTTCCTCTTGCCCGATTGCTTTATCATTTTGATTGGAAACTTCCTAATGGAATGCAGCCAGAAGATCTTGACATGAACGCAAAGTATGGAATTGCAGTGACAAGGGTAAACGATCTCCAACTAATTCCCATTCCATACCTTCCTGCAAAGGTGAAGTAAAATCTCAATGGAGCTTTTCTTTCTACGTTACTTTGATCTTTGCAGATGAGCGGATCAACTTTTTTTTTTTTTTTAACTGTGTTTGAAATAAAAAATTAAATAAAAAAAAAAAAACTTAATTGTGTTATTTGTATTTGCGACAAAGAATTCGTAGTCCTGTCAGTTTCTATCCTTTGTTTTTTTTATGAGCCAAAGAAAGTACAGAAATACATTATTATTTGTCAAGCACAGAAATATCAAAAAATTATATATGATTAATATTTAATTTTCTCTGTTTCCTATTTATTCACTAAATTGATGAAAACACTTGTGGTCGAGACCTCTTACAACTCACCAACGATTGACTGTTTCCTTTTTAATTTATAAATTGTTTTTAATTTGTAGCTTCATATGGATTAACATATGCAGATTAATGACTTTCTTGTCTAAATTTCATGCAATAGAAAAACAAAAGATTTTTGTATTTTAGCCCTAATTTCACCTGTTAATAGGTACTAAACATGGAATATCCATATTTAATAAAAGATAAGAAATAAAAATTACGATCAACAACGTAAAAATAAAAACAGTGTAAATAGAAGAAGTAAAAGTTGAAAGTGACTATTGATTAAAGTGAAGAAATATAAATATAACCTAAATTTCCAAGATCCAACGTAGAAGAGCCTTCATTGTGCAATAATTTTAAAATAGATTAGCAGCAAATATAGTCTGAAAATAAAAATAAATTATTATGAAATATCAATTAAGAAAAAAACGTGGGAAGCAGGAGTCAATCAACCCACGCAGGGTAGACGGGGAAAAGAAGAGTCCAGCTGAAAAGCTAGAGAACCCAGCAGAATTAAGAGCTTTTCTAGTGGGAATTAGCAGATTAGATGGTATAGGAACATTAGCGGTTATGTATTTATAGATCAAGGCCTGGTAGACGGGGAAAAGAAGAGTCCAGCTGAAAAGCTAGAGAACCCAGCAGAATTAAGAGCTTTTCTAGTGGGAATTAGCAGATTAGATGGTATAGGAACATTAGCGGTTATGTATTTATAGATCAAGGCCTGGTGTTCAAGCTCCATCCATTGAGATGGAGTAAAAGGTCCTCTAGCCTCTGTGAATGCCCCATGCATGTTTAGACTAATACAGTACATAAATAGTTAATGCAAAAATAAATATTGGAAATGAAATCATCCCAACAGCTCTTCATGATAATTCAATTTTCTAAGAAAAAAAGTATAATATTAAGAAGTACATTTATAGCATAAACAGTATGCATTGGGATTTAAAAATAAAAATAACAATGAAACGCTTGTGTAAGTTCAAGGGCATTTTGGTCCTCCTTCCTTGGTCTTCCAATTATTGTAGCAAGGGCATAGATGTTTGTTACCGTAAGTCCCAGGTGGAACACAAAGGCACTTTGAGCAACACTTTAGGCAAAAGAACATGCATGGCTTCTTGTATGATGTTGCTGAGCACCTATAACTACATCTTGGTTTGCAGTCTGTGGCAAATATAGTGTTAAAAAAAAAATTAACTAAGCTTTTTTTTATTATTTATATCATAGGTGTTTCTAGTCCATTAGATTAAGTCTAATCTTGCTCGTGTCAAGTCAGACCCATAAATTCACAAAGATGAAACTCTGTTATTTAAAAGACTTGAATTAAGCATTACTGTGATTTACGTCAATATCATAAATAGATCCTAAATGACTAAAAAGACCCGTCTTATTTCAAATTTTAAAAGTCACCACTTTAAAAGTGTCAATTCGATAAATCAACTATTTATAATAAAAATGAAATATCTAAATTCTTATCTATCTAACAATTTCTACCAATTCTAGTAGATACTGATTTTTTAATTAGGTTTGTTTATATTTACCTGAAGGATGAAGCTTTGAAAATTTTGCCTGTTAACAAATTATAAACAAATAACAATTAATTAAACTAATTTTGAGAAAACAAATCAGCAAAATTATCTGCTGCTGCTAGTGAATATGAGATTTCAAAACCTGATAATGGGTGCATATGTAACAAATACATACCTCAGCAATATGAGAGAAAGTGATGAAGAGAAGCACTGAAAGGACTAACAACAGGGAATTGGACTTAAGGCTTCTCATCTTTCTCTTTTAAAACTAAAAGAAAGAAAAAAAAAAAAAAAGTGATATTGTTTAGTTGAAGAGTGGATAGAAAGTGAACAAATTGTGAGTATATTTATAGCAATTTTGGGGGTATGACTGATTAGAAAAAGAGAATTAAAAAAAAAAAAATTGCACCGTTCATGATGGTAACATTGGAATTAGATTATCTACGGAATATGGCTCAGTTGGCAATGTAGGCTAGACATGTGAGAAAAGCTATCGGTTCGATTTCCACTAAATACATCTACAGGGAAAGGTAGAAAGTTTTAGCTGTGACTAAACTCCAACTTGAATTAAGCAGTCTCTGATATAGGATTCGGATACCAGTAGTTTAAAAAAAAATTTAGAATTAAGTTTTTGCACCATACCAAATAAAATCCTTCCACGTGATTGTTTGTGAAAATGTTTGGGCTAAAAGCGGAATCCATGGTTTCTATCGTTTTCAAAATTTGCTACTCCCTTCCGTCTTTTTTTTTTTTTTTGTTAAATTTTCAGTTATTATTTTTCTTTTCTATCATTTATTTATTTATTTATTTTGGGAGGGAAAAAAAAAAAAAAAGAATGAGATCGTCGTGAGTGTCCTGTAACACCTGTTGCAATATGGTGGTTAGGACATGTGACAATTCATTATTTACGATCTAATTTTGTGTGACTCGTAAACTTTCTTTATGTATATATAATTGGCCAATGGATTGTGTAAGTAAAATTATTAATATCATACTAACCAAAGATATGAATAAAAAGAGATGAATTATAAAAACCGTTGCAAACATTTTTGAATATGAGAATAAGAATGAATAGATTGGCAAATGTTAAAGAGATATCCAAAGTGTCAGCGTAATGAAAATCACGTTGTATAAACTTGAAGTAAACTTGCAGTAGGAGCGTGTAAGCAGTTAATTAACTCTTTGTTTGGGCTTAAGTCTACCGATCCTAAATTCGATATGTTTTTAACTAATTCATTTTGGTTTTAATACGAAAAATAACTGTTATCATTAAAATTAATAAATTAAATAATTTATTCATATAATTAAAAACTATATAAATTGTCACTTAATATATTATTAATTCTCTTACGTTGTAATTAGTAAATTATATTTAATATAATAACTAATTAAAATTAATAGAACTTTATATCTTTGGAATCTTACATAATACAATATATTTAATATATATATATATATAGGGTGGTGTTCTTTTCAGATTTGAGATTAATAAAACTAGAGTAATATTTACTATTTTGACAAAATTACCATTTTTATTTACTTCCTTTTGTCTCCTTAGTTTGTTTAGGACAAGAGAATTCATTTAACATTTATAGTTTTAGTGACAGACATCGTTTTCACCTCTGCGTTTTATTATTTCCTCCTCCGCTGTGTTCTTTTACCATGTTTTTAGAATATAATTTTTGTAGATGATGATGCTTATACTTTGAGTTTTAATGGAGTTCTTGATCTTTCATGTTCTCCATTTTAATGTACTCCTTTTCCTCTTTCTATATGACCTCTACCCTTCAATTAAAATCTATGTACCTTACTCCATTATCTCCATTTATAATTTTTATTGTTTTTCTTTTTGACTTTGAAAGCAACTCTTCCTTTATAATCCCTCTCCTGTAAAAATACTTACAATTAGACTCGGTTTGTTTCTGTGAAATAACTTGTAAGAAAATATTTTTCACAATTTTTTATTATTTGGGGACATTCGGAAAAATAAATATGCGGAAAATATTTTACTGATTAAAGAAAAATTAAATCATTTTTAAGAAAAACGGCTTCTTATATTTAAGAGGTTAAAATATTTTTCTGATTTTGAAAAACTTATTATAACTTTATAAATCCATATTTTGTTAATTTATTAATCATTAATAGCTACTATCACCACTCATCATTCACAACTACCGGTCATCGGGAACTTTTATAATTTACTTTTTTTTCCATTATTCTCATATTTAACAATAAAATTTTTAAAATACGAAATTTATAATCTTATGAGTTAAAAATTTTAATATTTTTAACTAATTTCTTTTTTTTTGCTTCCATTATTCCATATTTAACAATAAAATTTTTAAAATACGAAATTTATAATCTTATGAGTTAAAAATTTTAATATTTTTAACTAATTTTCAAATTGCAATCAAATAATGAAAAATAAGCCATTTGAAAACATTTTCCTTGGAAAATATTTTCCAAATATAAGTTATTTTCCGGAAAGAAACCGAGCCTTAATCTCTATTGGTTTTCCATTTTGCTTCTCTAATTTTGACTGTTTCCATCTCTCTGTTATTTACTTTTGTTACCCTTCAAATATTCATAACTGCAGTAGTTGCCTATGGTCGCAAGCTAATTAAAAATTCAGTTTAGCTCTTCCATCCATGATTGTGGATTTATTCATCATCCGATTTCTGAACAGAATTGCTAACTAAATATTTTGGAGTATCTTAACCGGTTTTTTTTCAATTGGAATTCATGTTGAATATCTGAATCTTAGTTACGTTCAATATTCTCGCTGTTTATAGCTATTTAAAATTATTAGCATAAAAAAAGGCCCAATGATGTAATTCTTTTCGTGAAAGAAACAAAAGGGAAATAAAAGGAAGATGTAAAAAGAAGGATAATTTTGTCAAAATAGTAAGCTCTGGCTTTAACGATCTCTGCTTTGGAAATAATACCACCCTATATATAGACACATACATAATGACGAAGCAAGAATTTTTTGTTCAAGAGGGGTATTAGCAACAACCTTGTTTGATAAAATTAGCTTAATTATTCTATTAATTTTCCATCAAATGTTAAAAATTAAAAGAGAAATAATGTTTTGTGATTCACTTGCTTAAAACTCTAAACATTAAACATTAGTAAAAACCTCTAAACATTAAATATTAGTATAAACGTCTGCAAAAGTATATATTTTCTTCGGTCATTCATCACCACTCCCTTAGGCAAAATTATATTTAAACCTGCTAAAAGAATTTTTTTTTTTTTTTTTTTTTTTTTTTTTTTAAAGATTTTTTTTTTTTTTTTTTTTTTTTTTTGTTATTTCTACCATAAATTTGGATAATTTAATAATTGGAAATATATAAGTCCACAAGGGTAATTTCTGTCCCAAGTCCAACACTAGCAATTTGTTTTTTTTTTTTTTTTTTCTTGAAATAGATTCACTGCAGCCTTTCTTTCTTTCTTCTTTTTTTTTTTTTTTTTTTTTCAAGGAAAAAAGGAATATAACTTTGAAAGTTCATTCCTAAAACAACTCATTTACATTTGTAAAACCATTTTCATGTTCAAAACTTTAACAAGCAAAAACCAATATAAATTAGTTACTACAAAGGATTAACAAGTGTTGCTAACCCAAGCTTGAAGTACTAAAAACTAAAACACAAACATTCCATCATGTCGGCTGGCTACTGCTATTGCTATCGCGACACTCCATTCAGACACAACTGCTACTGATGCTGCTCCTGTTCCTAGTTTTCTTTATGGGTTATGACTTATAATCCTAACCTTTTGACACCTTTCGGATGGGCTATAGTGACTTCTAGTGAGACTGACAGGAATTGGGCATTGCCTGCTCTATGAACAGCTCCCAAATGAGCTTAAGAGATTTGTAACTTGAGAACAGCACACAATTCTTTTTACGAGTTCGAAGATTGCGAGTTCTGGCCGAACATGATAACAGCACCCACGGCAATCGCAACAGACAAAATTAACATGCTCTTCATGCATCCACGAGCTTTCGATAACCTCCCCAAAATTGTGTTGCAATACTTGTTGGCATCTCTTAATGAGGCTACTCGGTAGGATGTCACAGGCTACTTGTCCAGCATCTTCTGCATTTGCCAATGCTTCCTCATTCTATAGAAATTGAAACATAAAAATTATTTTTTTTTAACAAAAAAAAAAAGAGAAGTTAAAAAAATTATGACAATGCAAAGGTAATTCAAGAAATATTGAATTATGACAATGCAACACATTAAAAAAAAAAAAATTCCTCTCCTCCATTGTTGGGGGATTATAAGAGGGCATGTTTAGCTGCTGCCCCTTGGTAATTCAAGAAATATTGGCACTGAGAAGTTGACAATTACATGCTTAGTATTCTACAGCAATTGAATTAACCAGCTCAAGAAAACGAAAACAAATGGTGAGTTTGTGTTCAGTTCAGTACTAAACTATAAGAAGAACATGGCCACTTATCCTGTCTAGACTACTAAACTGTGCTAGACTAAACTAAAGGGCGAGCATTTTTTGGCATGTACAACTGACAACTTAACCAAAAACTTCCGGATATCAGGTTTCTCTTGGTATTTTTCCTCAATTACTGCAAAGGGAACCCATAAAATGTTTCAAAACCACCAATATAATTCAAATTTGAAAAATTACATTTAAGTCTAATAATGTTTGGTAACAAAAATGAGTTCCAAAAATTTTTATGATTTCATGTTGAAAATTTTTTAATTGTTTTTATATTTGACATAAATGAAAATGTTTCATTTCATTGCTAAAACTTAAAATCTCAACCAGAATTCACCCACAACTAAACAAATCTATAATTTCTAAATGAAATCTATTTTACCAAACAATTAAGAAAAATTTAAAAAAATCCCTAATTATTGAAATCATCATATATTGGGTGATCCTACATTTTTAAAATGCCAACTAACAAAAAGAAAGACTTGAGAAAAAAAAAAAAAAAATTAAATGACCAGAGCATGGAAGACTGGCCAAGATCAAGAAAATAGTTAGGATTGGGAGTGAATGGTGGAAATATAACTTTAAGCCAGAGAAGATTAGGCAGCATGACATTGTTTACACGTCAATTGTGGATTAAGTAATTGGATAAGAAACTTAGGTTTGAATAAAAAAAATCTAAGATGAGGAATTGAGAATAGAAAGAAATGTTTAGCATGAGCGAATTTAATAGCTTCCATTGAAGAACGAAGATGAAGATTGTTAAAAGAAATAAAAACTACAGAAATAGATCTAAAAAGATAAGAGACTTGATAAAAAAATAATTAAAGAAAAAAAATGAATCAAAGGTAGAAAGTGACTGATAGCTAGTAATAAATGAGTTTCAAGCTAATGATTGCAGAACTTAAAAATTGATGAGCTACAAATCAGATAAGCAAAATTGTTGGAGAAAACATATAATGTAGTTCCTAAAGATTAAAAATTGAACTGAAACAAAACAGTCCAATTAACCCACATATCTCATGTTCAGTTTTTCCATCTCCTTAAAGCACACCCTAATATTGAAAAAAAAAAAAAAAAAAAAAAAAAAAAATAAAGTTACCTTATGCTTGAAATTCTTTATAGTTTTCCCTCAAAATGAGTCGAAAGAAAGGACGTTTAAAACAGAATACACATCCATTCATCGCAGAACAGCTTTCTAAAACAATTAGACTTGCTTCAAATCCTCTCAGAATAGAACATGTCCCTGTTTACGCAAACAGTTCCACAATATCAAGAAACACAAGTCAATAAGGTGTGTATCAATAGACAACTCTTGACTCTAAAGCAATGAACTTTTGTTTTTTTTTTTTTTTTCTAAAAAAAAAAAAAAAATCTATAATGCTCACGCCATTGCTTTGTTAACATTCAGGTTTTTGCCATCAAACACCATATAAAAAAAAAAAAAAAAATCATAAAATGCTCACCCATTGCTTGTAACATTCAGGGTTTTGCATCAAACACCATATAAAAACATCACTGGCTTCCTTTGATAGTTCAGGTATACCTACAAACAGCATCAGTCATCAAGTTATTGGCACAGTTTTAGACAAAGAATTAGTTGCTTAAAAGCGATGTATTAAGCTTCACCACCATCTCCGGCAGCTTTGAGTGTGAAATTCAATATGTGCTGAGTTACTTGCTTCATTGCTTTGTTTCCAGATGAAGCAGTAAGGGCAATTTCTTTTAAAGTTGGATAAACAGCTTCAAGCCTCTCAGTCGCCTATAAAAGGACATGCATAAAAAATTGTCTCAGATCTAAGGATCTGTTATTCATTCACATACACAGGCACTGAAAACACCCACCTTCACTCGACCTGATGGAGCTGGAAAGGTGATTCTCATCAAAAGTTCAAGAGCTGGTGGAGGCACTAAGCGTTCTCCCTTTTTAACAGCCCCATTTAGTAAAATAGACCGAGCCTTTGGGAAGGACAATATTCTAATAATAAACCACAAATAAAATAATAATGAAATTAAAAAAGAGACAAGTGAGAATTAAAATTAACAATGCAGTGATGTCATAGATGCAAAAGAAATAAGATATGAATAGAGTCTAACCTCTCAACCAACTGCAAAATCAAGTCGCCAGATTGTGGCTTACTGCTCAAGTTACCACTTAGCATAGGTAAGAGAGCACATATCCATGTGTACAACCCCACAACCAAATCTCCTTTGGATGCCTAGACAAATCAGGAAACAGTTCCAAATATAAAGTCCACACTCTTGAACGGAATAATTTGAATATTTAGGAACTTTAAATTGTTCAGTTACCTGAGCAATCACCCAAACTGTGACTGGAAGCTTGTCTTGTCCTTGATATTTTGGGTTTTCTCTTATTATTGGCAATAAATTGATCAATACATCAGGTTGTCTCCGTAATGCCATTGCTAAAACGACAAATATAGCAACCTAAAGTTCACAAATTATACATGGAAAATGATTACTTTGCTGAAAAGCACAATTTATTATCAGCACTATATTTCTTAGTTTTCCTCTACAGATATAGTTTTTTGAAAATTTTCAAACATGAACTAGGTGTGTGGCTCACTAGGACAAAGTATTAAAAACTAAAATCATCCAGGTATGCAGTCTGAAGCAGTTACAGATTAAGAGTGTTGAAGATTTCTCCTTGAATATTTGATTTGTTAGTTACATATTTATTTTAGAAAGTTGACATGTAAAAGACCTTGTCATACCAAGTGCCAACCAAGACATATTGAAGCATTAGAAGTACAATTATTAATGGTATATATGAGATAGCAAATATTTCAATCAATATCTAAAAAATAATTTATTTAAAAATTAGAAAAACCTAAAATTCCTAATCAAATTTCCTGTCATCCAAAAGTATAGATTACCCCCTTCCTTTTACATCTTTTAATAGAGTCTCATATGTTCTCAAAATGGTTGTTGATTTGGTGGTTTGAAATTGTAGTTAGATCTAAAAATACAAATTTTCGTTTTCATTATAAAGTAATTAATTTTATTATCTTCGATATGTATAGCTATAAGAAAATAAACATTTATGTGTGAGTATGTATATTTTAACTATTAAATTAATAGTTCCAATTAATTCTCATGGTCTTGAGTTGGTGTGTAACTTTATTTGATCATGCAAATGCATGTAAATATTAAAAAAAAAAAAAAAGCATATAAATAAAGATCCATATTACATTGAATTATTAGCAAATATTTATAATTATTTTGAACTTAAATAGAATTTTCCATAAAATCTATTTTATAATCCAAAAGGTAGAAATTCAATTTTTGTTTGTCCAAAAGTTATCTTTCAGTTATAAAATTGAAAACCTAACAATTGAAAATACAATAGATGGCTTTTGCTTTTACTTTACCAAACACACTGCATCAATCTTTTAGGTGCCGAACATTGACTTTGCTGCCTAAAGGCCAGCCAATGTGAACTAATATTGCATCTCTTTTCACAAATCTTCCATTCCTAAACATTTTTAATAAATTTTTTCTCTATTGGTAGTGGAAACTAAGCATTCACTATTCATTACCGCAAATAGATGCAGCTACAAGCAAAGGGCATTTACCTGAGATTTTGATGGCAATTGCTGCTTTGGCTTTTTGGATACCTTGGAAGTTGCTTGATGACTTTCAAGGTCCGCAAAAATGCTATCCAATGACCACAGCACAAAAGATCCAAGTGCCTCATGAGATTGCTGACCAAGCCAATCGACCGCTATCTTGTAAACATCTTCAGAAATATGAGAGAGAGGAATCTGATTCATAACCAAATGAAAAAAATTTAGTGAATGAATCCAATAATCCAACTTCTAAACAATTGATAGCATACACAATTAAATGATAAAAATGACATATTGATAAATACAAATAAATAAATTTCAGATCAGGCAGACAACAAAAAGGAATAATAGAATATATGTGATCTCTTAAACAGCAAAAGATGATACTTAATAATCAGAATAAGCTACACTACTTTTTGCCCCAATTCATATATTTCTTCATTTAAAAAAAAAAAAAAATTCAAATATGATTTTCTTAAGAACCCAATATTCTACGCTGTTCTTTCATAACAAACTCCAAAATTAAAGCAACCAAAAAGCCAAATAATAAATAAATAAACAAATAAACAAATTTGCAATTAAAAAACTCACATCAACCATCTTTGAAACTGAGGATTCCTTGAAGTTCTTCAGCCAAGGGAATTGCGCAGAGCTCACTGAGCTAAACGCCTTTCCAAAGTAATCTGCAAATCGCATTAGCAGTATATCCTGCTGATTCTCATACGACGACTAAAGAGACAGCACCACCAAAGCACAAAAAGAATTTGTCTTTAGCACAGTAAAACCAGATAAAATTCATCAAGTAAAATAGAATTGTTAAATCTTACTGTTATATCAATAAGAAAGGCGCCTAGATCACCGGCATCAATCTTCTCAGCCGCCTCCGCCACAGACACCTTTGGTTTCTTCGGTTTCTTAGCCTTCACCTTCTTTTTATCCCCGTTGGCAATTCCACCATCTTCACCGGCAGGAGCTTCACCGTCGCTTTCTCCGTCGTCGTCATCGGAATGCCGCTTCGATCCGTTTGCAGCGAAAGGATATTCACTGGCGGGGGCGGCTGCTCGCTGTGCCTCTAGTAGTCGCTTGCGGCGATCCTCCGCATGTTGCTCGATGGAGCTGAAGACGTCAGGAGTGGTGGCCCTGACGCCATTACTATGATTACCGGAGAAATTCTCCAACGATGAGACTTTCGACTGCTTCCTGTTTCTCTTCTGGTACGAAACCGTTTGCCATCCGTCATCGTTTAGCTTTACATTGTTATAATCATTGTACATTTGATCTTCAGTGAGAATTCGATCAGCATAAGCTGAATTCTCATCCATTGCTCGTATAAACGACAAGTTTTCTCACAAAACGACACAGAGAAACAGTGATACGATTTCACGTCGACGACACAGAAAAATAGAGCAGAAGAGAGAGCGTCGGGTTTTGAAGGAGAACAGAAGAGAAGAGGACAGGAAGATGACTCCGAAGCAAAAGACACGTGGATTTTTTAGTTCTGCCTTTTGACATTGTATAATAGTTTAATGACGGAAATGCCATTATGCGTTCAGTGGATCTACGGGCAAAAGAACCCGCACAATGTTGCGGACCATATGCCATCAAAGGATTTTTTTTTTTTTTAATTAATATTTTGCTTTATATTTTACAATGAATAGGTTTAAGGTCCATCTAAATGAATAAATCGAAAAAAAATATCTTTTAATTTGACTTGGATATCGATTAAAAAATTTTAATTAATATTATTAAGTTATAATCTTTGCTTTGTTTCCCGATATACCCTTGTGGTAGTGTTTTATTAAAATTAAATGATAATATTAAAATATCCTTGAAATTAATCAAATTATAATAAACCATTTGGTCAAATAAAGTTTTCTTGAAGGATTAAAAATTGATATTTTAAAAATTGATATTTTAATTTTATTTATATCAAATTTTAATTAATTATAATATAATAAATTGACTATTATATTTATTAATAATAAAAACATATTAAATAAACTTCAAATATTATTCAATTCTAAAAAAAATAAACATTGATTATAATTTATGATAGAAGAAAAAGGAAAGCTAAGAAAGTATTAGGTATCTTCCCTAATTTGCCTTATTCATTTATAAACGAGAGCAGATTACCAAATTTGAAATCCTAAAGCAGCAAGATATTAACACAGGTTTGATCTTTAATAGATAAGTTGGCTCCTGCAAAACGCGGAAAGAACTCATTATAATAATAAAATATTATCATTTCCAAAAAATTATATAATGATTCACAGATTTTTTTTCCCTCACGCTTCCATTTTTTTCCAAATATTATCCTTTTATTTATTTATTTTTCATATTTCCTTGCATATTCTGTTATTCTTAAATTCTTTATTATTATTATTATTATTATTATTATTTTCTTTTGTTAAATGGTCTGAATTTGGAGAATTGGTTTATGATGATAAGAAAGATATAAAGTGAATAGGAAGTTTATTTGCTCTCCTTTTCTGAAAAAAGAAAAAAAAGAATAGGTGGTAGGTGACAGGTTACATCCTAGAATTAATTCAAAATTATTAGGGAGCTATTATAGTCATTTTATTAGTAGCAATGTAAGGATGAAAGGTGGCATTAAATGCAGTTGGTGCAGATAGCAGTGATTTATCAAATGCCACTTTCCTCCTGACACCTTACCCTATTATATCCATAACACCTTCTTATAATATGTTAGAGAGTAGCATTTAGAGTAGATTTAGAGTAGCGTTTATAATTTTAAACCAATCAAAATAATATTTCTTTAAATTATTATGTTTGATAACTTGATAAATAAAGTAATTTTAAGGTCTTCTAAATCATTGTCTCACCTAATCTAGCGTTTCACTCTTTTTACTTTAATTTTTTTTTTTACAATATTATCTTTATCTTTATCCTTAATTAATATAAAACATTATCTTTTTATATTTGGCTTATTTATAATTGATAGTAAAAGAAAAATATATATATTTGTATTTAAACTCAAACAAATATTGCAAATTAAAAATGTTGCTGGAATTGGAACCCCGCTAAACGCATCTGCAGGGAGAGGCGATGAGTTTTGACTGTAACTAAGTCCTAAGCTGGATTATTCGGTCTCTAGTTATGGGGTGCAGACACTGGTGGTTTATAATAAAAGAAATTAAAATGTTGATCCCCTAAAATATTAAAAATTTTCAATTTTATTTATAAATAGTGAACTTTTCAACTTTTGCTCCCTTAAATCTTGAAAATTTAGGTTTAGTGAAATCATTTTTTTTATAATGAATTTAATTGAAAATTCTAGGTGAATATTTCAATTTTTTTTTTTTTGTCATTTTATATTCATTGCCGATCAAACAATTGTTTTTATCGAACTCTTTTACTTTAAACCACTATTTAAACAACTAATAACTGACCACTAACATCTACCAGTTAACAACTACTAAAACAACTAACAATTATTAAAACAGTTAACAGTTACTAGAACAGCTAGTATTTGCCAACGGGCCAATGATTGTATTACAAATTTGTAAAAAGTGAAAAATATTGTGCTTATTCATTTTACGGAAAAAATGGTTAAGTTTAATTGACATTATTATTATTACTAATCTTCTCGAACGTGTGTTGCACATTATTTATACTAGTTAATTTTTACACATTGCAAGTAAATGTAATTCAATTTTTATATATAAGTTTTTATTAATTTTTTGTTATAAATTATAATATCATAAATTGTTTATATTACTAAAAATTTAAGAGTATTTATAAAATAGAGAAAATAATATTTTATAAAATAATAAAATTTTTATATATAAGTTTTATTAATTTTTTGTTTATAACATGTATAATATCATAAATTGTTAACTTATTTACTAAAAATTTAAGAGTATTATTAAATCAGAGGAAATAATATATTTTATTAAAATAATAAAACTAAAAATTAATAATTAAATAACATTATTTTTTTTTCAAGACAATAACATTATTTGTTATTAATAATAAATATTAATTCATATTTAACAGTCCCGAAATTTCATGAAATAAAATTGTTTATCAATCAATTTAAAATTTGCTTTATATAATGTAAATTTAATTAATGTTTATTTTTTTTTCTTTACTACATATAATAACATAAGACTATCTATATTGCTAAAAGTGATGAAGAATTGCGAGTATTTTAATCTATTTTAATAATTAATGCTATTAAATCATTATTGTAAGTATAATATTTATAATTTATGTATTTTTGTTAACTTTTTGCCTGGAAGTGGCATGAACATGTATATTATATTTTATGGTTGGCTTTGGAGAGAAAAAAGAATCGTGGGTGGCAATGCATTTTATGGGTTGCTACAGATAATATATATTATATCATCAATATTACTTAGTATATATGATTAGTTATATATAATAGGATATATAGCTATTGATAGTCGCATTTTTTATCATTACATGATTTTATATCAAGAACGAAATAAATACTTTAATATATTTTCTAGAGTACGGATACATAAGATTACAGGATATTATTGTCTTTTATAGAATAAGATACTTGTATTAGAGATAATCAGTCACATTTAAAATTTATTTAGAAATGAATAATTAAAAAGGTATTATATACCTCTTAGCCATATTTAAATATGTACCTTATATAGTATAAGTATATCAATCGCAAATTAAGTTGACTTTTTATGTTTCTGCAAGCCAATAAGTGATACTATATTATGTATGCGCATTAAATGAGTTTACCATATTAGTGATTATGATAGCCAGTGTATAAATGATTACCATATTATAATTTTCTATTACCATATAATAGAATTACCATATTATAATTTTCTAATTGTAACGAATAAGGTTAATATATTACCAATAATATACTATATTTAGTATCCATTAAATAATATTACCATATTATATTATATTACCATAGAATATGTATCTATTACCATATAATAGAATTACCATATTATAATTTTCTAATTAGTCACGAATAAGGTTATTTTACAGTATTTAAATTTCATCAAGAGTGCTATCAAAAATTCAATTATTTCCCCTATTTCCACATTTATATATAATATAAATTATTATTATTATTATTATTCAATTATATCAAATGAATATAAGTTAAGGTAATTTAATTAACGAGATATATTTTATTCTCACTGCCATTGAAAGTACTTTATCTGAATAATACTATTGATTTTAATACTCTATTCCACATTGAAATAAAGAAGTTGAGGTTTATATATATGAATAACTGGCAAAATATATATATATATATATATATATATTATTAAAACCTCTTCGACCTTATCAAATGCTTATTGAAATATAAACCTTTGAACTTATCAAGCTTATGAAATTTTTTTTATATATATGAACCCTTCAAATTTATTTTATTAAAATCAAACCTTTATTTTAATTAAGATCTAGAAATTCCTTTAAAAAAAAAAATTAAGATCTAGAAATGTGCAGTCATTATCAATGAGATTAGGTCCTCTTCATCTGAAAGAAGGAAGACAATGGTAAAGGAAAGGCAATGGATTTTTTTTTTTTTTAACGTGAAAAGGAAAATTTTGACATCGTTGTCTTTCAATTTTTAGGTATAAATTGAGATCTTTATAGCGTCATTATTATTGAATTCTTTTTCCTGCCAATGACTTAAATTTCTATTTACTTTGGTTAAATAAAGTCTTAATTTGAAAAAAAATAAAAGTTAAATGATTCGATATTGACAATAAAAGTTTAAAAATTTAATGGAAAAGACTAAATAAATTCAAGGGTTTAAGGAAGCATTTGCTTTGGATAATTGATAGAATTTCCTGACTCTATAATTACATTTTGAAGCTTTTTGCAATTCGTTGATAGCTCATTTATATTTATATTTCAATTATGTTTACACTTTATTACCTTTCTAAAAAAATTATTAATAAAATTGTTATTTTTTATCATTTTATTTATAGTTACTCAAAAAATAAAAATAATTAATTATTTTAATATTTAACACGTTAAAATAAAGATAATATATTCATTTTAAAAATTAAAAATTATATATCTATTAATTAGTTTTATTCATATCTTATATAATTCAAATTCTATTTCTATTAAAAAATATAATTTTATTAATGATTTTTGAAAATGATTGGCTAAATAAATAAAAAAAATTATAATTATTTATAAATATTTAATTTGATTTATTAAATAATTTTCTTATTCTATTGTTAATGTATATTTAGTTTAATGTTTATTTATTATTCTATAAGAGCATTACAATAAAAGTTATTACTAAACAATGTAAATTAATCATAAAAATTGTATAATAGAAAGCTATTACGATGATTATTTATAAATCAAATCAATTTTCCTTAAAAAATAAAATAAAATAAACAATCAGATTAACATATTAATAAAAAAACCGTGCATGCAAACTAGTACATTGACATTTAAAATCAAAAATATTAT